AACCCCTAAACTCCCTAAACCCTAAACCCTAAACCCTGGTTACGCAAAACCCCTAAACCCTAAACTGCAAACCCTGGGCATCCTAGACCCCGCAGGGCTTTGGGCCTCTCAAGGGCTGTCGGGTACTCTGGGTAGGGTTTAGGGTTTGGGGTCTAGGGTTTAGGGTTTAGGGTTTCGGGTTTGGGGTTTCGGGTTTAGGGTTTAGGGTTTAGGGTTTAGGGTTTAGGGTTTAGGGTTTAGGGTTTAGGGTTTAGGGTTTGGTCTAGGGTCTGGGGTTTAGGTTTTAGGGAAGCGAGAAAGCCCTTCGCCACAAAACACGGGATTCGGCTATTTTGGGCCCACGGCTGGAACACAAACCCTAAACCGCCGAAACCCTAAACCCTTAAACCCTATGTAGGACAGACAAAAAAACATAGAAACCACCAGCCCCGATAGAAAGCGAGGTTGCGGCGGTAGGCTCCAAATCCTGCTCTAGACCCCAAACTGTGGCGCTGGGGCCGCAACTTGGCGATGATCCGGAGGATTGCCTAAGACGGAAGTTTGGGCTTAGGGTGTAGGGTTTAGGGTTTAGGGTTTAGGGTTGTGGGGTTTACGGTTTAGGAGGGAGTCTGGCCAGAGAGCAGCAGACGGGCACTCCTGATGCAACACTAGGCTGGCCCTGTAAACCTTTTGACACATATTCCCCAATCAGGCCCTCTTAAAGAACCCTAAACCTAAACCCTAAACCCTAAACCCTAAACCCCAATCCCTAAACCCTAAACCCTAAACCCTAAACCCTAAACCCTAAGACAAAGGTCTGATGTCACGTTGGAGCTGTTCGGATCCAAGCCTTCAGGGCAAGGCAGCTCACTTGAGTTTGAGCCCTCTGTTTGGGGTGGGGGGGGGTAGAAACCCTACATAAGGTTTTACATAGGGTTTTAGAGTTTTAGGGTCTTAGGGTCTTAGGGTTTTAGGGTTTTAGGGTTTTGGGGCTTGGGGGTTTTAGGGTTTTAGGGTTTTGGGGTTTGGGGGTTTTAGGGTTTTAGGGTTTTAGGGTTTTAGGGTTTTGGGGTTTTGGGGTTTTGGGGTTTTGGGCTTCTGGGCTTTTGGGGTTTTGGGGTTTCAGGGTTTTAGGGCTTTAGGGCTTTAGGGCTTTAGGGCTTTAGGGTTTTAGGGTTTTAGGGTTTTAGGGCTTTAGGGCTTTCAGGTGGGATGTCGCGTCCGGCTCGGCCACAACCCCGCGACCCCGTCGCGTAGGGGCGCGGCACTTCGTAAACTCGTTTGGGGCCCTCTATAACCCTAAACGCCCCTAATTTTTTGGGGCAAAGTATACCCCTAGAACCCTAAACCCGCAACCCTGAACTGTTTTGCAGCCCTGTAGAACCCTCGACCCTAAACCCTAAACGCTTTTTGGCCCAGCAGAAGCCGACACCCCAAGCTTTCGGGGCCCAGTATGAACCTTAAACCCTAAACCCTACCCCAAACTTTTTGGGGTGCAGTATGAACCCTAAGCCCCCTGCCAGCTTCCTCCCCGATGCGACGACATCCAGCCATCCGACGTGTCCACCTCTGGGTGGTCAAGGATCAGGGCCTAGGGCCTAGGGTTTAGGGTTTAGGGTTTAGGGTTTAGGGTTTAGGGTTTAGGGTTTAGGGTTTAGGGCTTAGGGCTTAGGGCTTGGGGTTTAGGGTTTAGGGTTATGGGCTTGCCGCTTCGGGCACGTGTTACTAGTGTTGTCTTAAATGCGTGTAATAACATAAACAGTGAGTCCTTGAATTCCAAGTAATCCATTAGAAACAAAAAACTATATGGCCGTTTGAAACAATTAAGAGAAGTCATAGAGATTCCATTCATTGCTCCATCATTTCCCTAGTAACAAGAGCTACGAAAAGGAAATACCGAAAATGAAACGGTGATTCTTTGAAATCAAATGGTATAATGGCTCATGTCCAAGGGGGGGGGGGGAATTGCGATGTGCCCTGCAATGGTGTAGACCGACTCGTCACCTAAGAACGTGCGCGATGGGTCAAGCCTTCTTACCCGAGCAGTGGCATGCCGACGAATCAGCACGGCTGGTCGGTCAGCTTCATACTCGTAAAATCTTCCCGAAAATTGTTTGGAGCCCTAAAACCTAAACCCTAAACCCTAAACCTTAAACCCTAAACCCTGAAAGAGCGTCAACTGGTCCCGGCCCCATTGCGTCGTGGTGTGCCGCATCTCCCTCATAGGGTGCTTTGAGGGGGCCAGGGGTGGTCTTGAGTTTAGGATTTAGGGTTTAGGGTTTAGGGTTTAGGGTTTAAGGTTTAGGGTTTAGGGTTTAGGGTTTAGGGTTTAGGGTGTAGGGTGTAGGGTGTAGGGTTTAGGGTTTAGGGTTTAGGGTTTAGGGTAATCCTTGCCAAAACTGGGTAGCCCGGTAACCATGTCGTATGGGTACCCTTTTTTGCGTGGGTTACTTTATAAGGGGGCCCAGAACCAAAAGAAGGGGGGCATCGGCAGCAGTGATTTCCTAAACCCCGACCCCCTAAACCCTAAACCCTTAAACTCCTCCTCCTCCTCCCCCTCCTCCTCCCCCTCCTCCCCCTCCTCCGCCAAACCCTAAACCCTAAACCCTAAACCCTAAACCCTAAACCCTAAACCCTAAACCCTAAACCCTAAACCCTAAACCCTAAACCCTAAACCCTAAACCCTAAACCCTAAACCCCCACCCCAACCCCAGCTAAAAAAGGATACACTTGGACCGACTGGAAGCCTCTTCCGCGGTCAGGTCCACGGCGTCCAAACCCGTGGTCGGGCTCCCTGCGTTTAGGGTGTAGGCTTTTCGGGTTTGGGGTGTAGGCTCGTAGGGAGTAGGCTTTGAGGGTTTAGGGTTTAGGGCGTAGGCTGTTAGGGTTTAGGGTTTAGGGCTTAGGGAGTAGGATTTTAGGGTGCAGGAATTCTAGGGTTTTAGGGCTTAGGGTTTAGGATTTTTGGTCTGGGGTTTTTAAACCTTAAACCCTAAACCCTAAAATCTAAACCCTAAACCCTAAACCCCAGGGTTTTAGGGGTTCAGGCTGCAAGTCCATGTTCCCCCCTTACGCTGTACGGCGCCCAGATTCTCTTGTTCAGGCTGACTTGGGGGCGTATGAAGGGTTTAGGGTTTAGGGTTTAGGGTTTAGGGTTTAGGGTTTAGGGTTTAGGGTTTAGGGTTTAGGGTTTAGGGTTTCGCCTTGTTGAATTGCAAGGCTTCAGAATCCCCAGAAATGCTTAGCTAAGGTTTGTAGAGGGTTTAGGGCGGACAGAGGGCCTCTGGAGCTTTAACCCTAAACCCTAAACCCTAAACCGTGCTGATTCCTGCGGCGAAGCATCCTTAAGTACGCTCCGAACAGGGTATGGGTGGCTCCTAGATTGGATAGATGTGGGGTGGGGATGATCGAAGTAACACTCAACACCCCTAAACCCTAAACCCTAAACCCTAAATCCTAAACACTAAGCCCTAAAGCATTTTGTGTGTGGGGGAGATTTCGGACGAAGCGCCTCCGGCCGTTGCTGCTTCTTGAATGTTTAAGGGTAGGTATATGCAGGGACGCAGGTGCCTTAGCCCAGTTTAGAATCCAAGTAGCCAGCCTGTTACTTGTTTAGCCGGTTTAACCCAACAGCCCTAAGCCCTAAACCCTAAACCCTAAACCCTACACCCTAAACCCTAAACCCTAAACCCTAAACCCTAAACCCTAAACTCTCCTTTCGAGCCCACAAGGTGCCTTCACCTCGGAAGCTTGCACCGAGCTCTCGGAGTGCCGTGAGGAGGCTACGGCGCCTTTGAGGCTTTAGGGGGTTTAGGGTTTAGGGTTTAGGGTTTAGGGTTTAGGGTTTAGGGTTTAGGGTTTAGGGTTTAGGGTTTAGGGTTTAGGGTTTAGGGTTGAGGGTTTAGGGTTTAGGGTTTAGGGTTTAGGGTTTAGGGTATCAGGGTTTAGGGTTTAGGGTTTAGGGTCTAGGACGGCGACTCCAGAGGGTTCTCAGGGCTTCTAAAGGGGCTTAGGGGCTTTGGGTTTTAGGGGTTTCAGGGGTCACCTTTGGTTATAGGGTTTAGGGTTTAGGGTTTAGGGCTAGGGTTTAGGGCTGAAGGGTTTAGAAGTTTAGGGTCTAGGGAGGGGCAGCCTTTTGGGTTCTGGTGCTTTAAGAGCTTTCGAGTGGTTCAGAGCTTTGACAGCTTCTTGGGGTTTAGGGTTTAGGGTTTAGGGTTTAGGGTTTAGGGTTTAGGGTTTAGGGTTCAGGGTTTAGGGTTCAGGGTGTCGGGGCACAGAAAGGCTTCCGTGCTTGGCTTCGAGACGCACATGAGGCTTCAGGATTCACACTAAAGGAGGGACCCTTAGAAGGGACCTTAGGGGGGGACTTAGGTATATATATGGATTACATACGGTATGTATAGGGGCTTTATAGGGGGAATAAGATTAAGGTCCCTTCTAGGAGTCCATCCTTATACCCCGTGAAGAGTATTAGGTAGCTGCATTGCGGTGCGCCGTATGAATATTTCTTCGGGGGAGTCTCCTGAGGCGAAATCCAGTTGCACCACGAAGGTGGACGGTAGAAACCCTCGAGGGACTAAAGGAGGGACCCTCATGAGGGACCTTCGGGGTTCTTTAGGGGTCATGTAGGGGGCTACTTAATTAGGTATATAGGGACTATGTAAGGTATTTAGGGGTTATATAGTGGAATAAGATTGGTCGGTCCCTCCTTAGACCCCTTAAATACCCCCAAACCATATGGAGGGAGCACAAGCGTAGAGTTCGAAGATCTGCTCGCGCACCCATCCTAAACCCAAGCCGTTTGTGGAATCCCTAAACGCTAAACCCTAAACCCTCGCTCGACAGCACCTCATCCTCCTGACAAACAAGAACCATGTGGCCGAGCTTGGAAAACTCCAGGACATGCGACGACAAGGAATGTCACGAATTCTAATATTGAGTCTACTGAGTCGATTTAGCTGCCACTCTGGATAGCACGGCCATCAGATGAATCGGCGTCAGTCTCGGCAGGAATATCTACTTCATTCAGTTTCTTTCGCAGGCAACAGACAGCGCAAAGTCTCCTTGCTCACGAACCTGCTGTCGCTGCCATACATGGCAGTAGTCCCACATGGCTGACCAAAGGGCTCGCCAAGGAGACCTCCCTTCAGCACCTGCCCTCGGAATGTCATCGAGCGCTGGGGGTACTCCTTGGGTGGAGCACCTCCCTTGACTCGCTTCCACGCCGAGTTGGGCCAGAAGTAGCCCTGCAACTTGCGCATGCGCAGACCCTGCGTGCTGGTCTGCCCAGCACTCAGGGTCTTTGGTGCAGCAGCACCCCGCTTCCTTTTCTTGCCACATCCCCATGTTCCCACTTCAAGCTTTGCGTTGTGGGGGGCTGGAGGCTTAGGGTTTGGGATGGAGGAAACCCCACACCCCAAACATCCCCAAGCTCCAAACCCTAGGCCCTAAACCCTAAACCCTAAACCCTAAGCCCTGGTTTGCTTTTCTACCCGATCTGGGATTGCGGGGGACATGCCACAGGTCGTCGTACGGTTGGACCCGATGAGTTTGGACACCAACTCAAGGGTTCCCCCTAACAAGGTTAGGGTTTAGGGCTTAGGGTTTAGGGTTTAGGGTTTAGGGTTTAGGGTTTAGGGTTTGGGGTTTAGGGTTTGGGGCCATCGCTCAGTTGCACTGCAGCGCAAACAACAGGTTTAGGGGTTTAGGGGGTTTAGGGGGTTTAGGGGTTTGGGGGGTTTAGGGGGTTAGGGGCTTAGGGGGTTAGGAGGGCCAGGGGTTAGGTCCTAAACTCGACGACCATATCCAGAAACCACTTTGAACGTCTGGGAGCCCCAGAAACCCGTTTTTCTAAACCCTGAAGGGCTTAGGGTTTAGGGTTTAGGGTTTAGGGTTTAGGGTTTGGGGTTTAGGGTTTAGGGCTTAGGGTTTCGGGCTTAGGGCTTAGGGCTTACCATGCCTTACCTGACAATACCCCCAGAACCCGAGGCGGGCGCTCTCTTTCGCGCCGCCGCTCGGCAATCTGGAGCTCGATCTTGCGATCCTCCACCTCCTTCTCCATCTCCTGCCGGGTTTTGGGGTTTAGGGTTTAGGGTTTAGGGTTTAGGGTGGTTTAGGGTTTAGGGTTTAGGGTTTACGGGGAAGGAACCTTAGGGAAGCTTAGGGAGCCTTGGGGAGTAGTGGGGAGTCTTCGGCAACCTTGGGTTTCTCCTCCTTCTCCATCTCCTGCCAAACCCCCAAACTCAAAAACGCCCCAGGGGCCGTAAATTTTTAGGGTCCGTAAATTTTAGGGTTTAGGGTTTAGGGTTTAGGGTTTAGGGTTTAGGGTTTAGGGTTTAGGGTTTAGGGTTTAGGGTTTAGGGTTTAGGGTTTAGGGTTTAGGGTTTAACCCAAGCGATCCCTTTAAAGGTAAGGGGCAGTAAGGGCCCATAATCAAGGGACCATGGAACTCCCGAAGGCTCCCTAAACCCAAAACAGGGCTTGGAGCTTAGGGTTGCCGAAGCCGAATTGGGCCCATTGAGGTCGCGAATTACCCCTAGGGTTTAGGGTTTAGGGTTTAGGGTTTAGGGTTTAGGGTTTAGGGTTTAGGGTTTAGGGTTTAGGGTTTAGGGTTTAGGGTTTAGGGTTTAGGGTTTAGGGTTTAGGGTTTAGGGTTTAGGGTTTAGGGGTCCGAACATACATACTACGGCACCCTTATGACAAGGACCCAAGCAAAAAACCCAAATTGGAGAACCATATACAGGTGCTTTTCCAGCGCCATGGCAGCTCGGACTGCCCGGTGGGCCTCCATTTGCGTCTTCTTCTCGGAGAGCGCAACATATTAGTATTCGTGCCGGCGGGGAGAAACGAAGTAGGTACTCATCGGGATGCCTCCTTCCAGCTAGCCAAGGCCGAACATGGAAAGCCGCGCGCCTTGACGGGAAGATATGCGCGGAGTCTGAAGAAAGGTCGCCGATCTCATGCTCATTGAGGTACCCTAAACCCTAACCCTAGAAAACCACGCCAGCATCCAAGAACCCTATGCCCCTCAGCCTCAAGCCCTGCGTGCTGCTTGATCATCTAAAGAAACCTTGGGCCCTTGAATTTGAGTACTGTTAGGGGCCTAAAGAATTTGAATAAGGTTTTGGGGGGGGTTTATAGTATACACATAAAGGGACCATTTTTGGGATACTATTAGACATTATTCCGACCCCAACAGTATCCTAGACATGCAGTTTGGGAGAGGGCTGTAGGGCTTGGGGGCTTCGGGTCTGACGGATTGGGATTGAGGTTTGGGGTATAGAGGTTAGGAGTAGGGCTTGGGAACCCTAAACCCTAACCCTAGTCCCTAAACCCTAAACCCTAAACCCTAAACCCTAAACCCTAAACCCTAAACCCTAAACCCTAAACCCTAAACCCTAAACCCTAGTCTTGCGTGCCTCCACCTTTTGCAGAGTCGATGCCAGCTCTCCTTAGAAGGGGCTCGAGGCGGATACTCCGAGGTGTCTGAAATTAGGGTTTAGGGTTTAGGGTTTAGGGTTTAGGGGTTAGGGTTTAGGGTTTAGGGTTTAGGGTTTAGGGTTTAGGGTTTGGGGTTTGGGGTTTGCGGTTTGGGGTTTTGGGCTTTAGGGTTCATAGCATAGAACCCCACATCTCGAACCCTGCGCAACATACATCCTCAGTTCTATGCCACAAGGACGCCAAACCCAAAACTCCTGAACCCAAACCCAAACGTTTGCCAAAAGAGCCCTTTGTTGGAAGAGCTCAAGGGGCAAGGGTTGAGGACTTTCGGTGGCTTCGTGTATTTTGCAGGGGCTAAGCTCTGGGATTCAGGGCCCAAAGTTTTCTCCGCTGGCAGGGCCGAGCGCCCCGAAATCCTGGACTTAGGTTTTAATGTTTGCTTGGAGGTTCATGGTACTTATTAACCAATTATAACTGAACTTATAATCCACTCATAAGCCCCTTAAGTGCCCTAATGTGGTTATAAGTACAATTATAAGTACAGTTTAAGTACCATGAGCCTCCCAAGTAAGGTCTGACAGATGGGAGGCCGCTCGTAGCATCTTAACGAAGCCACTTGCAACTTCTAACCTGCTTATGCAGCAACTACCCGTGAGCATTCGAGGAAGTCTCAACACCCAACTTTGCAGCGGCGCCAACGTTGCACGGCCCGACTTCCTCTTGAGCCCTAAACCCTAAACCCTAAACCCTACCCCCTAAACCCTAAACCCTAAACCCTAAACCCTAAACAGGAGGTTGCCTTGCTTGCCACGCTACTTCTACCTCAAACTGGCGCACCCCAAACCCGAACACCTAAACACCCAAGGAAGGAAGGTAGGCACCAGCACATGACACCCCAAATCCGCCTTAATTGGAATATGGTGCAGGGTTTAGGGTTCAGGGTTTAGGACTTAGGGTTTAGGTTCTAGGGTTTAGGGGAACACCTATCAAGGTATAAGCGATGCTGGCAGTAAAACGTACACGGCCCTAAAGACCCAATCCTTGAGGCCAAACCCCAAACCCTGAAACCAAACCCAGAACCCTAAGTTCCAAATCCCTAAACCCTAAACCCTAAACCCTAAACCCTAAACCCTAAACCCTAAATCCCACACCCAAATCCTAAGGCTGTAACCCCAACCCCCTAAAACCTAAATCTTTAGCCAAAAGGCTAAAACCTACATACCCGAAACCTTAAACCCGAAACCCTAAACCCTAAACCCCAAACCCCAAACCCTAAACCCTAAACCCTAAACCCTAAACCCTAAACCCTAAACCCCAAACCCCAAACCCTACTCAGTTTGGTCCCAAGGCACGCGCGGTGGTCTCCCGCTCCGAGAGGAGCATCCGCCACTCCAGGGTCTCCAGGCCTGCGCTTTTCTGCAAGGGGGGTTGTGAGGTTTCCTAAACCCTAAACCCTAAACCCTAAACCCTAAACCCTAAACCCTAAACCCTAAACCCTGAACCCCGAAACCCCGAAACCCCCAAACCCGAAACCCTACACTACACCCATAAGCCCCCAAACACTACACCCGGTCCACGGATTCAACATCGCGAGCCTCCGCCCTCGGCCTTCGCGTCGGGCGACCTCACCCCAGGAGCCCGCGATTTCTCCGAATTAGGGTTTGGGGGGGTTTAGGGTCTCGGGTTTAGGGTGTAGGGTCTAGGGTTTAGGGTCTTGGGCTTAGGGTTTAGGGTCTAGGGTTTGGGGGTTTTTGGGTTTGGGGTTTAAGGTTTAGAGTAGGGGGGGGGGGGGGGGGGTGGGGTTTCAGGTTTCAGACCTACTAAAAAAGTATGGGTATTTTCCAAAATAAGGGTGCCCCGTAAAGGGATCCCCCGAAAAGGGTGCCTCTACTTTCGGAATCCCCATGTGGCTTTGTTTGGGGTCAAGGGTCCTTAGGGTCTTTCACGGCCCCTGGGATCCCCCTCTCTTACATCCCTTAGGGCCCTATTAAAACCCTACAGCCGGACGTCTGGGATCAAACCCTACCCTACCAAACCCTAAAACCCAAAACCTCAAGACCAAATAAAGAAAATTTGTATGTGACATCTTTCGGAAATTCCCAAGTTATGTGTCTAAACAGGTGAATTGATGCAAAGCAGCTCGGGAGCACAAATGACCAATCGACCTTAACTTTTGCGTTTGTGCTAAGCCCGAACTCAAGCTTTGCATTTAGCTCAAAAGCTCTAGCTAAACCTGAATCAGCGGGTTTGGCCAAACCCGAGTTTTCGGGTGGTCCTAGCACCCGAAATATCGGGTTTAGCTCTACCCAAATCATAGAGTTGAGCGATGCCCGAAGTTTAGGGTTTAGTTAAACCTGAATTTTGGGGCTTCGCTGAATGCGAATTTGGCTATCCCGAGCTGAACCCGCAAATAACATTCTGGATTTACCAAATGGTTTGTCTGAACAAGCTGGCGCCGCACATAGCTCCATCCCACAAAGAGCTCCAAAACCTAGGTTAGGTAAATTGACGCAAACCAACTCGGAAGCCCAGATGATACGTTTGTCTAAGCGCATGTACTTGCAATGCCCCAGTGAAACCCGAATTCTCGGACTAGCTTTTACCTGAATTTAGGGTTTAGCCTCCCCCAAATTTCCGAGCTCAGCTAAACCTGAATTTTAGGGTTTAGCCAAACCCGAACTTTTCGGTTTAGTTAAACTTGAAATTTTAGTTAGCTGTTTCCGAGTTTGGCTAAACTCTATTGCTTTGAAACTGATGTCAGTGCTTCGTTAACCCGAGTTTTAGGGCGCGCCTAAACCCGAATATGAGGTGCAGCTGAGCCCGAGCATTTGAATTTGGCTTTCCGATGTTTCGGGCTTACCCCGAATTTCAGAGCTTAGCTCAACCTGATTTTGAGCGAAAGTTAGGGTGTATCGAAACCCGAATCTTAGGAGTGTATTTAGCTCAACTCAAAATTAGGGTCTACTTCGACTCAACTCGGAATCCTATAGTTTAGCTATGACGCTATGAAGGGTCTGTCCAAAATGTTTGAAGACATCAAAATGTGGGTCTGCGTCAGTTGAACTGATGCTTTTGACCTCTGCTTTATATCACAGTTTTGACGCAATCCATATCCCCAAACAGAATGACGGGGTTGGCAATCGCCATAAATCCTCTGCTACGAAGGCCAGAAAAGCACTATCAAAACAACGATGCGCCTGAGAAGAAAGGTTGTTGCCACCTGTGAAGCGACAGCTTGCCTGCGTGGTTCCTCGGGTCACAAAGATTTTGGTCTTGGGGCGCAGGGAAGTCGGGGTGTAGACACGGGGTCCGTAGGGCTGTGTATGAGCGTGCAGACGAGTACCCCCAACCCCTAAACTAGGGTTTCGCCTTTGTCATCATCTTCTTGACCAAACTTTTTCAAATGGTCTTGAAGCATCTTGTCCAACACGGTATTGTCGCACTTGCCCTTTGGAAGAAGTGGAGAAGTTATTGTAGCGCGCCATCAGCGATGACTGAGGCACCCTACTGCCGGACAGAAACAATTGAGAAAAGTTTATAATAACGCCAGGCACATAGAGGATTAAGGCAGCGGGGCTCGGTACATTGCACTTGGCTTCTTCAAGCACTTTAGCAATCAGGGTCTTTTGATCCTCCACACGCGCATCAGCATCTCCAGGGGAAACCAAGCACTCGCAGCAGTTTCCCATGGCTCAATAGAAACGTTGAGCTTGAACACCTAACTACTTGGGCAGCGCAAACCAAATGCCCCAAAAACCGGACAGTCAGTCGATGGACAAGCAAACGCACCACGTCCTGCGCGACTGAGCGTTCCCCCTGAAGAGAACACTCTGCGCGTGCTCCGCTTAGCTCGAAGACTTCAAGGAAGCATATTGCCAGCGGAGCCAGAATGGCGTAGCTCGCCCACAGGCGTGAAAAATTTGCCTTGAAGACACGTCGAGCGTGCCCGGCTTGCAGAGTTGCATCCAAGGCTTACTCCGATTGACCAAAACACGGGCGCGCAGAAGCGCTCGTTCAAAAAGTCTGAAACACGCTTGCACGATTGCCTCAGCTTCACCTTGGCCAAGCGCTGGCGCCCGAGCTCCTCGACTGCCTGAGCGTGAAACACATAACATCAGAAATGATCTTTCGCTCTAAAACGTGTCTCACCAGGTATCTGTACTCGTCAATCATACCAAGCATTACGTGACTAGATTGGGCCGAAGCCCTCGCATCTTCGGCTCGTCGTACGCTGCATGGGCCAAGCTGCCCAATTGGAAGGCGTGCTGCATCCTGCACTAGCAAGTGTCCGGTTCCCCCAGACTTGTTCAGGCGAAAGTTTCGTCGACTCCCAATGTCCGTATTACGTCCGAGCACACCAGTCTGAAACGGTACACTGCCTCTTTTCCTTCCTCGTCGCCGCACCAGGCAAGAATCGGGCTGTCGGCTGGCAGCGGCGCTCGCGGGCCGAGACGCTGCAGAACAAAACGAAAGATGGACTTCGCGACGGGTAAGACCAAACACCCGCCAAACTGCGCTGTCTCGGGAGGCCCAGGTTCTCCGGCCGAAGCGAAAGAAAAACGAACCTCCTCCACAATCTCCACCTCTGTGTTTTCTGGCAGTTCGATTGTGATGGACGGGCTGAACATCCAGAGCATGCGGTTGCACAGCTCGATTAAAGGTAAATGCTGTTACAATGGCCGCGCCAGCGGGCTAGTTTCGATAGAGTTTGTTGCATGTGGGCATTCCCCTTCTCCTTGCCGCAGACCAGCTGCAAGAAAGGCGCTTTCTTGCCATCAAGACCGCTCCAGCGCCAGAGCGCATGGGGTCTTCGGGCTCTGTCCCCGAATACGGCGCTTCGAATAAAACAATGTCTTGTACATCCTTTTGTTTACTTTACTTCGGGCTGGTGTTGAGTGGAGTATACTTAGTAAGTCGGACTTTTGTTACCAGACATTTGAGAGGCTGAGGCCCCGGCGATGTGCGACAACGGTCTAAACATATACAAAAATAAACGAAACAATAGTGGGTTCCAAAGCAAAAAAGCGTCAAAACGTTTCGGTCAAAACGCTTTTGGGACCAAACCCTCTGCAAGTTCTATAAACCCTAGTCTTGCACCGATGGGCTCAGGTCCACGTGGCGTTAGATCCCGAAAGCCTCAGAAGCCCCGGGCCCTCGGCATCTTAAAGCATCTGGAAGCGAAAGCTGTTCGCGTCCAGACAGGTGTCCCAGGGCTGCATATGGCCCCTAAACCCTAAACACTAAACCCGACACCTGGCAGTTAGCCAGTTTCTCCTTCTTCCGGGGGCGTAGTGTAGGTAGACCATGTTCCTATGACTTTAAACCCTAAACCCTAAAACCCTAAACCCTCCCATGCGCTGGCCTTTGACATGGCTTCCATCCTCTTCGGCTTCCATCGTCTTGTCGCCGGCCGCGCTGTGCTTCTGCAAACCCTAAAGCCCTAAAGCCCCAAAGCCCTAAAGCCCTAAAGCCCTAAACCCTAAACCCTACACCCTAAACCCTAACTAAACCCTAAACCCTAACTAAACCCTAAATCCTAAACCCTTTGTTTCATATGTATCCTTAAGCCTTACTGGGGGCCGTGGCCATTGGCACAAAAACCGTGGCCATTGGCAAAAAACCATGGCCATTGGCAAAAAACCGCTGCCATTGGGAAACTTGCCAGTGGCCACGTTCCAAATCGCACCAAATCTGCCCCCAACCTTAATGGCTGCCGTGGCCATTGGCAAAAAAGCCGCGGTCATTGGCAACTTTGCCAATGGCCACGGGTTCTTTGCCAATGGCCACGGGTTCTTTGTCAACGACCACGGGTTTTTTGCCAATGGCCACGGGTCCACCAAAAACCCTAAAACCCTAAACCCTAAACCCTAAACCCCAAACCCTTCAACCCTAAACCCTAAACCCTAAACCCTAAAACCCTAAACCCTAAATAACCAGGTCATGGGTTGCAACCTTGCGCCCCGACCTCGTCCCTGGCGTCTCCGAGTCGGTGCAGCCTGGGAAAAAGGTAGGGTTTAGGGTTTCGGGTTTAGGGTTTAGGGTTTAGGGTTTGGTGTTTAGGGTTTAGGGTCTAGGGATTAGGGTTTAGGGTTTAGGGATTACGGTTTAGGTTTAGGGTTTAGGGTGTAGGGTTTAGGGCTTAGGGCTTAGGGTTTAGGGCTTAGGGTTTAGGGTTTAGGGTTTAGGGTTCGCAAAGTAGGGGACCTCAAAAACCTTGCGTTCCTCTGCACTAGGAACCCCAGAAAAAGATGAAACCCCCATCTGGGTTGAGGGCTGGGCTCTTTATCCTGGGGGGAGGGGGGTTAGGGCTTAGGATTTAGGCTTTAGGGTTGAGGCTTTAGGGTTTGGGGTGGGGGGGGGGGGGGGGGGGGGGGGGGGTTGTGGGTTTCCAATCGATTTAGGATTTTTGGGTTTAGGGTTTAGGGTTTAGGGTTAGGGTTAGGGTTTACGGTTTAGGGTTTAGGGTTTAGGGTTTAGGGTTTAGGGTTGAGGGTTGAGGGTTTAGGGTTTAGGGTTTAGGGTTTAGGGTTGAGGGTTTAGGGTTCAGGGTTCAGGGTTCAGGGTTCAGGGTTCAGGGTTCAGGGTTTAGGGTTTAGGGTTTAGGGTTTAGGGTTTAGGGTTTAGGGTTGAGGGTGGGGTTTGGGCTGGGATTTTGGACTTTGCTTTCCGGGTCAGTGCTCCGGGTTGTCGAGTCCCGGGTTTTCGGCATCTGGGATTGTAGTGCTTTCGGGATTGGGGGGTTTAGGGTTCTTTGGAAACTTTGGAGTGTTTTTGTTGGGGTGGAGGGAGGGGAACTAAACCCGAAACCCGAAACCCGAAACCCGAAACCCGAAACCCGAAACCCTAAACCCTAAACCCTAAACCCTAAACCCTAAACCCTAAACCCTAAACCCTAAACCCTAAACCCTAAACCCTAAACCCTAAACCCTAAACCCTCAACCCTAAACCCTAAACCCTAAACCCTAAACCCTAACCCTAAACCCGTGTTGGGTTCGGAGCCTCCACCTGCCGTCTCCTCGCCCTCTGTGGCCGTCGGAGACCTCACGAAACAGTTGCTGAGGTCTGTTCGACTCAGGGCTTGCATTTCATCATAACCCTAAACCCTAAACCCTGAACCCTAAACCCTAAACCGTAAACCCTAAACCGACCCCCAAACCCTCAACCCTAAACCCTCAACCCTGAATTTTAAACCCTAAGCCCTAAACCCACAACCTGCAGAGCCAGGAGTACCCTCATGCAATATCTACAGAGGGTTTCGGGTGTTGCAACATCGGTGTTACCTTTGATGATAGCGCTACTCAAACAGCCGCTGAAACGTCAACCCCTCCCTGTAAGAGAAAGGTTTAGGGTTTGTTTGTGGGTTTAGGGTTTAGGGTTTAGGATTGAAGGTTTAGGGTTTGGGGTTTAGGGGTTTTCGCGTTTAGGGTTTGGGGTTTAGGGTTTAGGGTTTAGGGCTCCTACGCATCTCAGACCGCTACTTGCCAGTGCCGGCCCACAGGCCTGAGCCAGGCACAGCTGGGTTTCACTGTGAAAGGGTCGCTATGGATGCCAGTACTGCGAGGGGCAGCGATCGCACGTTGCATGCGTTCCACCCATGTGCCAATCGGCCGGTGATGGCGTCTAGGCCCTAAACCCTAAACACTAAACCCTGAACCCTAAACCCTACACAAGCAGGGCCGCCTTCGCAAAGACAATGATCTTCTCGACATTCGACGCAACGGCCCTGTAGCCTTCAACCCTCAATCCCCCTAAACCCCTCGACCCTTCCAAACCCTAAACCTTACACCCGAAACCCTAAACCCTAAACCCGAAACCGTAAACCCCTACGTCTAGTTCCAAACAGCCTTCGAGGATCCAACCAATTGTTGGGGGGAAAAGGTTTGGGACTCAAGGATTTGGATTTCTTGGGGGCTTAGGGGGTCAGGGTCTTAGTGCCTTGGTGTCTAAGGGTTAGGGTTTCAGGGTTCAGGGTTGGTTGATTTAAGGGTGAAGGGTTCAAGGGTTTCAGGGTTTAAGGGGCTTAAGGTTGTTGGGGTTCTGAGGCCACCAGGGTTGAGGGTGCAAGGCTTATGCCTTGAGTCAAACTATCCCTGATACTGCAGAAACCTTATGCACGATCCCCTAAACCCGAAAAACTGAAGTCCCCAAAAAAGCCGGGTTTTGTGTTTCATGGTCGTCTTGTCCAAGGCCCTAAACCCTAAACCCTAAACCCTAAACCCTAAACCCTAAACCCTAAACCCTAAACCCTAAACCCTAAACCCTAAACCCTAAACCCGGCACCTTGCCTGACTGGCTCGGCTGGACCTTCATCCTCCTGCGCGCCTGCTTGGCGATGCCGTTGGAAGTTCAGGGCTCGGGTTGCCGACATTTCTCGGGCTTGCGGGTTTAGGGTTCAGGGTTCAGGGTTTGGTGTAGGGCGTAGGGCTTGGGGTTTAGGGTTCAGGGTTGGGTTTAGGGTTTAGGGTTTAGGGTTTAGGGTTTAGGGTTTAGGGTTTAGGGTTTAGGGGTTTGAGGGTGAGGGTTGAGGGTTGAGGGTTGAGGGTTGAGGGTTGAGGGGTTAGGGTTTAGGGTTTAGGGTTTAGGGTTAGGTTTAGGGTTTAGGGTTTAGGGTTTAGGGTTTAGGGTTTAGGGTTTAGGGTTTAGGGTTTAGGGTTTAGGGGTTTAGGGGTTTAGGGGTTTAGGGTTTAGGGTTTAGGGTTTAGGGTTTGGGGTTTAGGGCCTTGAACAATACAACCAGAAAACCCCGAGGTTGCGGCCAAGGTTTGAAACGTTAAGGGCCTCAGGAGTTTTCCCCACAGGGTTTAGGGGTAAGGTTTAGGGGTTTAGGGTTAGGGATTAGCGTTTAGAGAGCTTCAGCGTTCGGGCGTTCTTGAGGTCTTCCTTTTTGCTCAAAGGACTGCATAAGGGAACACAAGCCCCATCAAAAAGGGAACAAAGGGCACTCGTGGGCATCCTAGACTAGGAGCCTCAAAGCCCTTAGGGTTTGGGGTTTGGGGTTTGGGGTTTAGGGTTTAGGGTTTAGGGCTTAGGGTTTAGGGTTTAGGGGTTAGGGTTTAGGGTTCGGTTTAGGGTTTAGGGTTTAGGGTTTAGGGTTTAGGGTTTAGGGTTTAGGGTTTAGGGTTTAGGGTTTAGGGTTTAGGGTTTAGGGTTTAGGGTTTAGGGTTTAGGGTTTAGGGTTTAGGGTTTAGGGTTTAGGGTTTAGGGTTTGGGGTTCTCAGAATCCGCATTCAAGGCCCGGCCTTCAGGTGTCGGTTCGGGGAGGCCGAGGCAGCTGCGGGCCTCAAGGGTTCAGGGTTTAGGGTTTAAGGGTTTAGGGTTTAGGGTTTAAGGGTTTAAGGGTTTAAGGGTTAAGGGTTAAGGGTTAAGGGTTAAGTTAAGGGTTAAGGGTTAAGGGTTAAGGGTTTAGGGTTTAGGGTTTAGGGTTTAGGGTTTAGGGTTTAGGGTTGAGCATCAGGAACCCAAAGTTCAGGGATCCAAGGGGTTTAGGGTTTAGGGTTTCGGGTTTAGGGTTTTGGGTTTTAAGGGCTTATTGAAGCCTAAAAGCCGGAGCCCCTAAGCCCCCAAGGGCGAAAGCTGGGCGAAAATACCTGAAAGCGCAAACCGCAAGCGCCTAACCTCCTCAGCCCTTCAACCGTTAGACCCTAAACCCCTTAAGCCCTCTGAAGTATGGCCCATATTGAAGACCCCGGCCGTAACCCTAAACCCTAAACCCTAAACCCTAAACCCTAACCCGTCAAACCGAAACACTGACCCCTAGAACCCAAACCATCGGACACGCCGAGCCGTCATTGCGTCGCATCCCAGAGACACACGAAATCGGTGACCACACGATGTTGTCGAAACACTAACGCCCGGCATTTCAAGTGCTTCAAGGCAAATCGGGCAGACATCTCCATCTGATGTGCTGTATGGGTTATCACTCCTCCTGAGGATACCCTGCAGCTCCTCCTCGGAGACCCATCATGACACGATCTTCTGCGACCGGTTGGCAGATGACCACTGACGACCACACGGAACCGACGTCACTCTGCACTCCTCAAGCTGCGCCGAAGCAGGCCACATAAAGATAATCGTGTACTGATCTTAGGCTAAGATGCGCCGGACACACCTCATCTCCACTGGGATGCTCAACACCAAAGCCCCGGAAACTCGTTGGGTGAAGGGTGAAGGGTTTAGGGTTTAGGGTCAAGGATAACCCTAACCATGGGAAACCCCGGGGTTGAGGGATCTAGTTGCGGACTGCGGACCGAGAGGTTGTACTGTAGCGGCAACATGCCATACTGCAGCCCGCAGCGCTGGAAGCTGCAGAACACAAACCCAACAGCTTAGGGCTCAGAGTTTAGGGTCTAGGGTTTAGGGTTTAGGGGTTAGGGTTTAGGGTTTAGGGTTTAGAGTTTAGGGTTTAGGGTTTAGGGTTTAGGGTTTAGGGTTTAGGGTTTAGGGTTTAGGGTTTGGGGTTCCCTAATACTCCCCGCTACTCCCCAAGGCTTCCTAAGATTCTCTAAGGTTCCCTAGGTACCTGCGCCCCCCCATGATCTCCCCTCCCTTAAGGGGCCCAAAACATACCACTGTCGCCAAGCCGCCCACCCAAGGAAACACCTGCTAGGAAGCCCCTAAGCAAAACCAAAACGTAAGGCCCTGAAAATAAAAGTAATAAAAAAAAAAAAAAAAAAACTAAACCACCCCCTGAACAATTGTAGAATAACAAAAGAGAACAGAGAGAGAGCGAGAGAGAGCGAGAGAGAGCGAGAGAGAGGGAGAGAGAGAGAGACTCACCAACAAAAAAAGAAAACAAGGCCTCAAAACCTCCCAGCCAACCCTACAACAACCTACCGCCACTGAAGAAAAAACAATAAAACTGGCACCCCCCCCCCCCCCCCCCCCCCCCCCAGAAACACATCTCAAAAAAACCTAAACCCTAAACCCTGAAGTCGTACCTCCAACAGATCGCGGTGGATGGCGCGCATCTCCTGACACGAGCCCCACATGCAATGCCCTTGAAGGCTTGAGGTTTCGGGGTTTAGGGTTTAGGGTTTAGGGGTTTAGGGTTTAGGGTTTAGGGTTTACGGTTTAGGGTTTAGGGTTTAGGGTCTAGGGGTCTGCGGGTTTTGGGGTTCAGGGTTTAGCGCAATCAACAATTCTTATGGTACTAGGTAATGTTCAAGTACCTAGACCTTGAGTTTGAGGTGGGTTTGGGTTGAACAGGTTTTTTAAAACTTGGTCTTTTCCCGAACCCCCTACTTGCAATATCTACTACCCGAGACGAACACGAGTCACAACCCCTACAACACCGCATCCATACTGTCGCCAAGGAGGTAGCTTCTTCTTGGTCTTGGGATTCTGGAAGCTCTATCTGCATGCAACCCTCAAGGGTTTAGGGTTTAGGGTTTAGGGTTTAGGGTTTAGGGTTTAGGGTTTAGGGTTTAGGGTTTTGGGTTTTGGGTTTTGGGTTTAGGGCGTAGTAAGGCAGAAGGGTTCTTAGATGTTTCGCGGCACAGGGGCTATTGATCTGAGAGCCTTGGGCCGGTTCAGTCTACGGGTTGGGTTTGAGAGGTTTAGGGCTTGGGGCTTTGGGTTTGGGAGGTTTAGGGTTTGGGATGTAGGGTTTGGGGTTTCGGGCTTAAGGTTTAGAATTTGGGGTTTCGGGCTTAGGGTTTGGGGTTTGGGGTTTCGGGTTGAGGGTTTAGGGTTGAAAGACCCTATGGCCATGAGAAGCAAAGTTACAGGCAAGGCAACGTACATCCGAACAGGTTCAAGACTTAACGGGGGCACTATCAACACTACTTGAAGCTACCTGCGAACCCTTCAAGCATGCGAGGTTGGAGGCCGAAACGACGTAGGGGTGTTCAGGCTCAACCTTTGTCTGAACCCTAAAAGTTAGACATGCGTATGTGCCGACCTGTCACAAACTACATCGCTTACCAGGTCTTCCTATAAATGAAGAATATTCTTTAAACCTTCATCCGACTCTATTGACTTCTGGGTTCAGTTGAAAAAATTCCAGCCACGATTTAGTAAATTCTTGAAATTCGGGAGATTAGGACTCAGACAAAGTAGCAAATTATTCAAATTCATGAGAGTAGGACTCAGAAAAAGTCAGAGTTGGCTTTCATGACGAGCATGCCTCCCTAAACCCTAAACCCTAAACCCTAAACCCTAAACCCTAAACCCTAAACCCTAAACCCTAAACCCTAAACCCTAAACCCCTCAGCCCTGGCCCTGAAGCCAAAAACCGGCAGGGGCTCCCACTGGGCCCTTCCGGGGCTTCTGGCTGCAAATATTTCACGGTGCTTCCCTAAACCCTAAACCCGAAGCCCTAAACCCTACAACCCTAAACCCTAAACCCTAAATCCTAAACCCTGTAAGCCCTAAACCTAAACCCCTAAACCCTGCAAACCCTGACCACCCTAAACCCCAAACCCCAAACCCCAAACCCCAAACCCTAAACCCTAAACCCTAAACCCTAAACCCCACCTCCACGGCCAGGCGGGCGCCTTCCTGGAACTCCATCCCCTGCTGCCGCACCTTCGCGCTGGAGATCGAAAACCCTACCCCAAAGGATGCGCAACATGGTCAGTTCTTGGGATGAGGGTTTAGGGTTTAGGGTTTAGGGTTTAGGGTTTAGGGCTTAGGGTTTAGGGTTTAGGGTTTAGGGTTTAGGGTTTTGGAGTGTAGGGCTTTTTTGTTTAGGGTTTAGGGTTTAGGGTTTAGGGGTTAGGGGTTAGGGGTTTCAGGATTTAGGGTTTAGGGTTTTGGGGTTTAGGTGGGGATGTTCCCCCTTAGTCTAACAGTCCTTAAAAAGGATGATCATAGGGGGTACTAGAATCACTTTGAGAAACTGCCCCTAAGCAGAAAAATCTTATACGAATGCAAACTCCAAAACTGATACCAGTACCGGGAATATCAATGATAACAGCAATGACAATCACAATCACAATGGCAATCACAATAGAAAGGACAATGACAAGTTGGCAGTGTCCGTGGTAATGGCGACGTCACTGAAATTTTAGGGTGCTTAACGGTGAGGGGGTTTCCAAGGTTCCCTACAGTAATACTCCCCACTCCCTAAGCTTCCCTATAAAGTTCCCTAGGTACCTACGGTTTAGGGTTTAGGGTTTAGGGTTTAGGGTTTAGGGTTGAGGGATGAACCCCCCCCTCCCCCCTGTAACGAAATCATGGTAGAACAACACGGCCGAGGGGTTGGCGAGAAACTGCCGGTGGTAACAACAACAGCCATATAAAAGCAAAACACACACACACACCAAAGACCTAAACCCTAAGACCTAATCTTCAAAAAAAGCCATAAAAACATACAACCAAAAAAGACGAAAACCCCACAGCCCCTAAAACCACTCACAAAAACACGAAAAGCCCAAAAAGGGGTCCTGAGTTCCGCCACCTCAAGACTCAAACCCGAAACCTTAAACCCTAAACCCTATGAAGATTCCAGTTCCAGCACCTGCAACGCCACGGCCCGCTGCTCGCGGAGCTTGGCGCGGACCTGGCCCAGGTACCCGAAGGAAAGTTTGGGGTTTAGGGCTTAGGGTTTGGGGTTTAGGGTTGAGGGTTTGGGGTTTAGGGTTTAGGGCTGAGGGTTGAAGGACGCTTGTGTGGGTACTACATGCAGGGGGAGGAGGGTCATCTAAATCATGTACCTTTCTGGGGCCTCTCTGGTGCTCTGCTCCTTATCCTCGAGAAGACCATGATTTGGATAGAGAAAGAAACGATCGTCATAGTCCAACCAAGATGAGAAGCACAGCCACACACACACACACACAGACCTGTTGTGATCCGCGGCGTGCTCATCTTCTTCTTCAAAAAACCCTAAACCCTAAACCCTAAACCCTAAACCCTAAACCCTAAACACTCTCAGCGTCGATGGAGGCGGAGGGCTAAGAAGCAAGCGCAGGGGAGAACCACCGCTGCAGACAACAGCCAGCTCGGCAGCGTCCAATTTGGGAAGTGGTCCTCTTGGGCAGCGCGGAAACCGTGCTGGGACAAGGGCACCCGTTTCGTAGGGTTTAGGGTTTAGGGTTTCGGGTTTAGGGTTTAGGGTTGAGGGTTTAGGGTTTAGGGTGTAGGGTTTAGGGTTTACGGTTTAGGGTTTCGGGTCTAGGGTTTAGGGTTGGTTTGGGGTTTAGGGGTTTAGGGTTTAGGGTTTAGGGTTTAGGGTCGGCCACTTGATAAGGGAACCTTGAAGCCGAAACAAGAAAACCAAAAAGAGGGCGCAAAAGGGCCCCTAAACCCTAAACCCGGCTACAGTCCTTGGCGCCCTGCGGAAGTATCAGGCTGTCGAGAAGAAGCTGACGAGGGCCGCCTATCCTTGCCACCCCAACTTTGACGTTGAGGGTCCGGCTTTTAGGGTTTGGGGTTTAGGGTTTAGGGTTTAGGGTTAAGAGTTTAGGGACCCTGTTTTCCCTCCTGACACCCCCAAAACGCGACGCCCAACCCGACCCACCCCCCGCCCCCCACGCCATCCACCCCCCCCCCCCCCCCCCATCCACCCCCCCCCCCCCAACCCCTCCACCCCCCCCCCCCCACCCATCCACCCCCCCCCCCCCCCCAACCCCACAAAGCTCCAGGCGTTGACTCTGAACCGTAAACGCCCAAACCCAACACCTGTTCTCCTGCGGGGTCGGCGGCTTGAGAGCCGGAGGCTCTTACATAAGTACTACCAGTATTCCCTCATAGTGCCTTTACAATTCTACTAAAATCAACCCCCCAAGACTTCGATGTGTGCCTTGGACTGAAGAAAAAGGGGCCTTGCTGAATCGAACCCAGGTTCTTCGGCCTCACCAGCGTCCACAGGACGTAGCGTGGCAGCCAGGTCCTATGCTCCCCTTATAGAACCTTAATGAAAATAATGCTCTTAATATCCTCTTGGGTTTTATATAAACAAAAATACAAAAAATATTTCCAAAGAAGGATATAGTGTCTTGCCAGAAGCCTGTTGCAACATCCAGGCCAGGCACTTGCGCAAGTCCTGCCGCGCCTCAGAAGCAGTCTCGTACTTCTTCCAGTCGCCATGCCCCGGTAGAACCCAGCAGAAGTCGTAGGAAAGGAGCTTCTGGAGTGACTGCTCTTGAAGCTTCCAACTTTGGAAGGTCTGAATGCGATGCGCGTGAAGGTGGCCCTTGGCCGGTGAGAAGGCAAGGGAGTCCCCGGTGAAGAGGAAGCGGTCCTTTCCAGGCTCCGGGGTGAAAAAACCCTAAACCCTAAACCCTAAACCGAATATGGCATGGCACCCCTACATTGCCGGACGGTTTCGGTGCTCTTTTGAAAAAGCACCGGAAAAAACATAAAGTCCCCAAGGTAGAGGGAAGCATGCTCAGGTGCAACTTGCTTCTGCTCACGTGTAACTTCTGGGCCTTGTGCTTAATTCATCAAGCAAACACTTCGTTGCAACGTGTCTCTGGGCATCGAGACGGCCTAGCTGACACCTTGCCCCCAGTCGTGACTTTCGGGGTGGGGGGCAGGGGGGAGGGAAAAGGAGGGGGTGGTGGGCTCTACATTTGCCATTGGATTACCTCACATAGTCCTTTACGGGCCCGGACATCTCCTTTTTGGGGTCGAGGCCTTGCCACCCAACATGTCCTTTTGGGGTTCAGAGTTGTTAGGGTCCAGGGCTTGAGACCCAACATCCCCCTTTTAAAACTGAAAACCCTAAACCCTAAACCCTAAACCCTAAACCCTAAACCCTAAACCCTAAACCCTAAACCCTAAACCCTAAACCCTAAACCCTAAACCCTAAACCCTAAACCCTAAACCCTAAACCCTAAACCCTAAACCCTAAACCCTAAACCAAAGAAAAACTTGTTGTGGCTCAGGGCTCCTGTAGCATGTCGGCCTTCCCCCCCCCCCCCCCCCCCCCCTCCCAACATCTCTTCTTAGGGCTGAAGGGCTCGCCGCACAACATCTCCTTCTACGGTTGAGGGTTTAGGTCTTGCCACCCAGCCTGTCTTATCAGCTTCTTTTCGGGCTTCGGGGTTACCCTCTTAGGGTTTGCTGTAGGCCTAGTAGGGTTTGCCAGGGGTGTGGGGATGGCCACCAGTCTGTTTAACTTGAGCTTTCGGGGTTTTCGGTCTGCCACCGAACATCTCCGTTCTCGGGGCGTGCGCCACCCGAGATCTCTTTTCAGGTGTTTGGCTGTTCCCTCAACCCTAAACCCTAAACCCTCGAGCCCCGAAACCCTAAACCCCAAACATTTGGGAGGGGCTTACCACCCGGCATCTCTTTTCGAGGATCTAAGTGGGCCCTCCTACTCTCTTCGAGGGTCTGAAGGAGCGGGTCTCCAAAAACCCAAGGGTGCCACCTTAGGGTTTTTGAGGTAGAGTCCCAGGAGCACAACTCACCCAGCTTCGCCAGGTACCAAAGTAGAGCCCTTTGAGGGTTTAGGGTTTAGGGTTTAGGTTTAGGGTTTTGGGATTAGGGTTTAGGGTTTTAGGGTTTAGGGTTTTAGGGTTTTAGGGTAACCTAGCTTAGCCAGGTACCCAAATTTTAGCCCTTGAGTCCTTGTACAGGAACATGATGCTGCCTGGGGTATGGCCGGGAGTGGCAATGATCTGAAGGTCCGGCACGCCATCAAGGCAGACCGTCTCCTGGCTTCGCATCACGGTGCCGTCTGCTGTTCTGGGGTTTAGGGTTTAGGGTTTAGGGTTTAGGGTTTAGGGTTTAGGGCTTGGGGTTTGGGGTTTAGGGTTTAGGGTTTAGGGTTGTGGCAAAGGAAGTCAAACACCCGAAGCTCCTAAAGCGCTAGTTCGACACCAAACCCTACACCCCCTAAGTTCAACCGCCTGAAACCCCTACACACCTAAAACCCCCTAAACCTAAACCCCCCTAAACCCCCGAAACCTCCTGCACTACCCCCCCCCCCCCCCCCCCCCCAAATCCCCTAGACCCCCTAGACCCCAAAAACTAAATCCCTAAACCAAACCCCTAAACCAAAACCCCTAAACTAAACCCCCTAAGCCCTAGATGCCAAAAACAACTCCCGAACCCCGGACTCGAAGGATCATCGGATCCTTACGACGCCTGCCTTACCCCGCCCGGAATTTAGGGTTTAGTGATTTAGGGTTGAGGGATTTAGGGTTTAGGGATTTAGTGATTTAGGGTTTAGGAATTTAGAGGGATTTAGGGCTCAGAGGGTCCCCCCCCCCCCCCCCCCGCCGCCCCCCCCGGCCCCCCATGGCACCTTAAACAGTGGAAGGCCCTGGAAGGATGGCCCTCAATCTCCGAAGCCCAAAAGCCCCGAAACCCGACATCCTCAAAAAACTTAATTAAACAAAGAAACTCTAAGCCCTAGGGGGCGGGGGGGGGGGGGATCCTCAAAAGGGAAGGCCAAGAGAGGGTAGTAGCCGGGGATCCCTAAACCCTAAACCCTAAACCCTAAACCCTAAACCCTAAACCCCTACACCGCAACATATGCCAAGCGTCAAAGGGCCGAAGCTCCAGGAGCGTCTCGAAGTCCGACGTGACCTTTTGGGTTTTTTCAAATTCTTATGATGACGACTATTTGGGTTTAGGGTTTAGGGTTTAGGGTTTAGGGTCTAGGGTTTAGGGTTTAGGGTTTAGGGTTTAGGGTTTAGGGTTTAGGGTTTAGGGTTTGGGGTTTGGGGTTTGGGGTTTGGGGTTTGGGGTTTGGGGTTTAGGGTTTAGGGTTTAGGGTTTAGGGTT